ATTTTTTTTTTTTTTTTAAAAAAGGGTTTTCATTGTTTAATCTAAACTGTTAATAAAAGGGATGAGCATGATTAGTCATTGTTGATTTAACATTACTACCCTCACCAGTCGGCACCTGATACACCAGTAGGTAAAATATTTTATTTAAATTATTACTGTTTTATCCAATTGCACTGACCCAATCAAAATGCCATTCTACAGGATGGCTACAGATATACCAAGTTAAATTTAAGACTTTTTAAGACCTTTTTAATACCACCTTATATGAAATCTAAGACCAAACCTGCGACATATACACACATTATGTATATGTATGTGTGTGTGTGTGTGTGTGTGTGTGTGTGTGTGTGTGTTTGTGACACACATGTGTAAGTTCTCTTTCCAAGTAAACACACTGATGTCAGTTCAAAATAAACAGTAAGGAAATGTAGTCCACATTTAAACATCCAGAAACGTCAGGGAAATTAGTTGTTAGGAACATCCCTGTTGCCAAATTATATCTGACGACCTTACAAATACTCAATGACAATACCTGAAGAGTTTTATTGTCATAAAACTACTTGTTTGTCTAAAGACGGCAAAAGAGTAAAAGCTTGTACGTGTCCATCCATCCATCCATCCATCCATCCAATTATTACTCTTATCCTTTTGAGGGTTACATTCTTTGCAGGTCACCAGCATATTACAGGGCTAACCACATACAGACAAAACAAAACATTCACACTCACCCTCACAATTCAAAGACAACAATTCACTGCATAATTTTGGACTCTGGGCAGAAACTGCAGCACCTGGAGGAAATCCACCCAGACACCGAAAGAACATGAAATCTATATATTTTTAACTACAAGCTGTGATAAACTACGTATTTATCTATCTGTGACAACATCAAAGCTGCTCCGGGTCGTTAGACTCCAGAGAGTATTTCCTCCTCACCCTCCTGTGTGAAAGAGTTTTCTCAGCCAGCCGCAGACCCCCCTAAAGGCCAGTGTATATGTCAGAGGAGGAAGCTGCCTGCCTATCTGGATACACGGGGCAGTATATCTCTGACCCCACTGGGCCGAACCTGCCCCATCTCTCTGTGATGTGCTCTGAGAGTGAAGCATGATGGATGGGAAGAAGATGCCGAACCCCCCCATGAGAGTTATTTCAACAGAAAGGTTCTTTCTGAGCTTGTTTTAGGGTTTTTTGTAAAAAGCAGAACGTAGACAGGTTGTTGTCAAAAGCAGAAAAGTGTACTGTGTCTATCTGTGACAACATCAAAGCTGTGACAACGTCAAAAAAATGTCTGCAAGGTCACTGTTTGTTCATTTGTTTTCTGATGTCTGTCCAATTCTGTGTTGTTTTATTAATTTGGTGTGTTGTGTTGTATTGTTTTGCACTTTATAGCCACTTTAATGTACCTGAGCTGCCACTTGTAATAGTAGCAACTAGGGTAACAGCTATATAACCATTTCAAGGTATACAGTGATAGCTGGACGCTGAATCTCTTCTTTATTTTAGGTAGTTTCTAGAGGGAGCGTTTTTAAACATACTTCCATTAACAAAATGGTTTCAGGTATGAATTATAGTAATAAAATATTCGTTCAACTAACAATAAGCCTTCCATTTCATTCATTTTCATTCCTTTAAGGGTCATTCTGACTGATGATAATATAAATTCTGTAATACTATGATACCATTACTGCACCATTAAAATTTCATGCAGTTACAACCCTAGTGGCAACCTTTCAAATGAAAAGAATGATAGAAATCCCATCATCCTCTTAAAGCTTTCTGGGTTTGCTTATATCTACTCCCTGGATATGACATGGCAGCAAACTGTGACCTTTTAGATCTAAAAATGTTTGGTATGCTTTGGAAAACCACCAGGAATAAAATATAAATAATGATATTTACAGTTTATAGGTTAAATCATGCAAACTCACTGGATAAATACAATCCCATCATAGATCTCTCGGATACAGAATGAGCTGTCTGGAGTATCCGTCTTGTATAAAACATATTCCAGTCCATCATATCAAGGGTTCTAAAATGACATAGCATATGAGCTGACTTTACTGTTGGGAGGTGGAGGAGGAGATGGAGGGGAAGGTGTAGCATATGGGTGAGACGCGTGCCACGCTACAGACCACTGGCAAACACTAACCCTTTTTAAACAGGAGTTGTGCAAATTTGCAGGAAAGCTCAGTCTTCTTTCAGCACTGGCAGTATAAAAACAAGTGCAGCAAAATGCCGCCTACTTTTGTCCATACAGAATTTCGGGGCAATGGGGGGCGTGAGCAAGTAACAAAACGTGTAGCTCAGCGTGTGACGTAAACAGTGACGTGGGAGGGAAGCCGCGGCTGGTCAGTCCTTCTGCAATTCTCTCGTAAGTCAGCCCGTTCTTCACCATTCCCGTCATCTGACGGTTAATGGCCTCTTCGTTTGCGAGGGCAAGGAGGGCGCGCAATTCTTTGTCTCCTCAGTTGCTCATCTTTACAGTGTCTGTCAGGTTTGCGTTTCCCTCTTGCTACTAGCTGCTCGCTAATTCCTGCTATCAGCTGTTTCTTGTTTATCCACCACCAGTGGGTCGCACGTGCAGCATCATCAACAGCTCCTCCCACAAGTCATCAACAGTCCCGGCCGCCTCTGTCTTTTTAAACTTAAAGGGTTCTGCCAATATGTCTACCCTATGAGGCGGAAAATTGGGCACCTAGGATCAACTCGCCAATCCGGCTCTGTATGTCTAAACGCTTGCAGCTTGCCGGCAAAACGGCCCAACATTCGTGAAAAATCTGGCAGTGTAAAAGGGGCTACTGTTCGAGACCAACAAACAACAAAACGGGGTTAAAGTGACTCATCAATGCGTCTTCCAGCAGCTTTAACCACCAAAGGTGGCTGTACAGTATTTGGTGAGCCATGGCTGTTTTTCCAACGGGAATAGTGCTACTAATGGTGGTTGACTGACATACTGCGTTTCCGACCATGATAATGCCATGAATATTGGGTGTTTTTATACCAAGACATCGCTGTATTTTTAGGAGCTTTATAGCCACTGAAACTGGGTATTTTAAGCCAAAGTATCTTTTCCTAATTTTTAATGTATCCACTACAAAATAACATACAAATGTGATGTATCCATGGTTTTGCAGAATGGTAACATTTATCGTGGTGACTGGGTCGATATATCCCAGGTCTGCAGAGAATAAGTCATCCTGTGCCTCAGACGTTAAAAGAGTTGTAAATGTACAGTCACTACTGTATGTGTACTGCAGGAACAGATAAAGGGGATAAAATGAGATGGAAAATACAGAGTTTCGGAAGAAACATTTGGCATTGTTGAACAGCCCTTACTGTAAGCCTGCCCACACATATGGGTCACTTTCACACACACCACATGGAGCAAGTTATGCACGGGTTTCATTCTAAACCCCAAACCTGATCAGATCATTATTTGCTGTAGAGACGGGCGAATCTGGAATTGAACCGTTTCCCAGAGTCATGCAGGATTTGATCTATGGCAGTTTAGCATCCAGCGAGGTTTGGCGAGGAAATGATAAGAGCTAAGGAAGAAAGAGGGTGATGGAGGGAGAGAGAGGCAGTAGGAAGGAGGCCCATTTTTTGATTGCTCTCCAGTGTATAAGCATTATATATTCTATGAGATTTATTCTCTAAGGCTTTCATCGGGGGAGTTCAGTTTACAGGGAAGTCTATTTGTCTGCCCGACTGTCCCTGACTCCAGCTGGCATGTGCATGTATGCATGTAGCAGATTGAATTTCATTTATGCACAGATTGGAACTTTAGTCCAATCTCACAGGCAGAGCTGCTCTGGAGGCAGAAAATCTCATTGGCTGAGTTCAACCTCAAAGAAGAGTTTCTGGCAGAGTTAGCCCTGCTTTCACATACCCGAACAAATCTATACTACTGTCCATACTGTAAATACATGACCTATAGTGCATTCTATTCATACCTCCAGCTGTTGTCTGTGGTTGTGGTCTGTATCTGCATTATTTATTATTCATTTATTTTCCCTACTGCGACTGCTGCACATACTGTCAATACTGAATATGTCTTAGTCTATTCTTATTCCTTGTCCTATATCTCACCCACTGTATATCAGAACATCACTTCACTGCTTTCTTGACTTCTAATTAGACGCTAAACTACACTCTGTTGTCTCAGTGTTTATACTCTGTGCATCGACAGTAAATATAGTCTGAGGTGTCTGCGCTGACACTCAATAACTGGTAACTAACTAAAAAAAGCCGCCCTTACCTCAGCATGATATGCGGCCAGACTCTGTTATTGCTTAACAATGCCTGGTGGCGTCAAGGGGGAAACGCATCAGTACAACAGTTAAGTGGGTGGTGGTTGG